GAGTGAGTGTGTGTGTGTGTGTGTGTGTGTGTGAGTGAGTGTGTGTGTGTGCGAGTGAGTGAGTGTGTGTGAGTGTGTGTGATGGACAGAAACGCTCATTCAGTCCTCCAGCAGCATTAATCAGATCAGCTCAATTAATCAGGCTGGTGAATCTGACGGCTGCGTGAGAGCATGAGAGTCACACAGAGCCGAACTCCAGCGATTGTGTTTCTCACTGATGAATTTCAATCAGCACAGGTACAGTGTCGCTCCGCGCTCATTAGTGAAATTCCACTCTAGCGCGTAATTACTGACGATCTCAGTGAAAACTGATGAAGTTACTGCAGAGCAGACCGAGAACACTCTGTTCGTCTTATTCGGTTTCTTATTATTTATGTTGTTCATCTGTGTGTTGATGCAGCAACTACTGAAACCGATGGACTCACGGCCCTCATATTTTCTTGAATGCAGCTTTCAAAAGATAACATTTATTATTTTTACATTTGATAATTAAGTTCCATGATTATTGTAGGTACAAAATTATTTTGAAGCCAAAATATGTCAGAACCAAGTAACTTCTGCATGAAGGTAGTTTGGGGAATCTGTCTGAAACATACAAAAAAAAAAAAAATTCATTCATTTGTCAATACACAGAGTGAAAAAATTTGGAGTAGAAACAATTTTCATTCAGAATTTTTTTCACAAATAACTACAATGAAACTGCAAGACATCGAATTAAACACAAAATTCTGAAGTAAAGACTGAAATAGTATTTTCTTGTAAAACATACTCCAATATAATCAGTTTTACTTACAGTGCAAAACAACCCAAGAGTTTTAGCATTTAGCGAGGCATGTTTTATAAATCCATCTAAACATCAGACTTTTATAACAATCTCTTCAGCGGTCAGTCAAAGTACAGATCTCAGCCTCGGAGTCACAAACTGTGCTCCAAACGCAGAGATAAAGTGCAGTTTAGCCTCAGTGTGCAGAGAAGATGGTTTAAACTCATCTGTTTATATAAGCTACAGAAAACCAGGAAGACTGAATCTATGCAGGAATCTATGCTGGATATTCTTAATATTCTGGAAGAGCGACAGTAAAGCATTAATAATGCATGTTCTCACTTCAGTTCACAAGTCAGAATGATATAATTGGGTCTGAAGACAAGCTTAAGGAAAGTTTTAGTATAAACAATAGTTATTTTTATTTGGGTTGGATTTTTACCATGAAACACAAATGTTTTGTTTTTTTTGTTTTTTTATCAAAAAGTCGATCCCATGTTTTTCCATGCATGAAAATGATCACTGGCAGCTGAGTTCATTGTGAAAATTCTATGATATGTGACCCTGGAGCACAAAACCAGCCATAAGGGTCAATTTTTCGAAATTGAGATGTATGCATCATCTGAAAGCTGAATAAATAAGCTTTCCATTGATGTATGGTTTGTTAGGATAGGACAATATTTGAAAATCTGGAATCTGAGGGTGCAAAAAAATCAAAATATTGAGAAAATCGTCTTTAAAGTTGTTCAAAGGAAGTTCTTAGCAATGCATATTACTAATCAAAAATTAAGTTTTGATATATTTACAGTAGGAAATTTACTAAATATCTTCATGGAACATGATCTTTACTTAATATCCTAATGATTTTTGGCATAAAAGAAAAATCAATAATTTTGACCCATACAATGTATTGTTGGCTATTGCTACAAATATAGTGGCTCAAATATGGTTTAGCAAGTTTTTAATAAAGAGAATGTTACTTGAATCAGGTTAAATGTAGTTTAAGTTGACTAGTTGAATGTTAAAAAATAATAAATCAATCAATCAAAATTGTTATCTTGAACTGGGCAGATGTTTTTATTTTGTCATATCATTCAGCCCTAATCTGAACCCGACCTCCACACGTCTTATAAAACGACAGACTCTCAGTCTTATGAGGCAGAACTGACACGGTCCTGAACATCTTCACTAGTGTTGATGACATGTCTATCAGCAGCAGCACTGATAAACGCTCTCTCTCCAGCAGGACGGGTCCCGCATCATTACCTTAAGGAGCTCTTTAAGGACAGATTTACGGTCTCTGTTCACACGGTCCTGCTATGAGAGTGAGACGAGCGGCCGTCAGTGTGACTGTGTCATTCCAAAGCATAATATTGTACTACGTTTCATAAAAACACCTCATTCCTTGTTATTCTGAACTGAAGAAAATCACCAGCTCTGAGACGTCTGATTCATGAAGGAGCTGATTCTTTCCAACGAACCTGCTGGATTGGTTCACAGATCACACTGAATGATTCATTCGCTCAACAGTGACTCAGTACGAGACAAGACAGCACAGGTGAACAGGGTAAAAAAAATAACATATTTAAAATACATGTATTTCATGCTAAGTATAGTTCAAATCTATTTACTGACATATCGCTTGAGATTATAGATTATCTTTATTTGTAGAGTACTTGTGCACAATGCTCATTTCTTAATATTAAGCCTAAAATGTGTTTTTTAAAATACATGTATTTCATGCTAAGTATAGTTCAAATCTATTTACTGACATATCACTTGAGATTATAGATTATCTTTATTTGTAGAGTACTTGTGCACAATGCTCATTTCTTAATATTAAGCCTAAAATGTGTTTTAATGTCACTATTGATGAGGATTGTATGATCTCTGAATAATATCGGTCTTTAAATGTAAGATATTTAAAGTGTACTTGTAGTATACTTGCAACAGTTCCACTTTAGCACAATCAAGTATACTTCAGTAACTCTAGTTGGACTTCAGCACAATTAAAGTGCATTAAGTACTAAATTAGTTGTTCCAATTTAGCAGACTGTAAGTATACCAGTTTAGTATATCAAAAGTATTGGTATTGCAGGGTACATTTATTAAGTACATAAATATGTAAATGTATTTGTAGTATACTTAGCATGAAATAAATGTATTTAAGTATATTTATATTTCACTAGGGTGAACAGTGTAAATTAAAAAAAAAAAAACTAATAGATCTCTCCTAACATACCCAGATGATTACATTAAGAATTACAAACTTTTTTGTATTCCATGTTTTCAGTTTAAATATGCAAATGAGGCAATCTCTAATTCAACATGTACCTTCCACAAATATCCAGCACATTAATCTGAACGCTGGATAAAGCCAGGTTCATAACTCTTGACTGATTTTGTTGGTTTTTCCAGAGAAGCAGAAATCATGATTCAAATGTGATTTATCATTATATCAGTGGACCTATATGATTGAAATTTGTTTTTATTTTCCTGACTGGATTGAGCCATAGAGAATTTCATTGTCAATCAAGAATCTATTTATCTAGCCGTACGAGTTTCCATCATTGATTCTGTTATTTTCCTGTTGATCTCTGTCAAGCTGCTTTCACACAATCTGTATTGTACAATGCACTTTATAAATAATGGCAACTTGATTAGAGAGCATCGGACTGGATCTGTTTATCCAATGGAAAGAAAGTGAATAATCCATCACATTCAAACATGCATACATCTGTCAAAAACAATCTAAACTCAACCCCTGCTACGTTTGATGGGTTTGATTGGTATGTGTTTGAGTTCAGGTCTGATGCGGTTTGTGCTGGTCATCCAGCCGCTCAACAGAGGCTCTTTGTGTGCAGGAATGTGTTTCTCATGCGTGCGTCCATCTGGTGGCCTTTTGTCAAACTCTCTCACTCTGTGTTCTCAGAGAAAGGAGCTCATTAGTATGCATCTCACACCTGTCAATCTACACCAGCACGACACCCCCTCCACTGAAGCTCCGCCTCCATCACACGTGAGGCCGTCATTTGCGGCTCCAGAACGTTCTCATGTTCCTCAGCTGTTCTGGTAGTTTCACATCATGTCCACTGCAACACACACTCTGAGAAACTCCAGTTCAATCTCTCACATCTACAGAGGTCTGAATTTGTTGTTCTGAACACACAAGCTCAACATAATCAACTAAATCCAGAATTAATATGCATCAGATTTTTCATCCCTTCATTCCAACTTTTTCATCCCTTCATTCCTTCTTTTTTTATCCCTTCATTCCTTCAACCTTTTCATCCCTTCCTTCCTTCAGCTTTTTCATCCCTTCTTTCCTTCAGCTTTTTCATCCCGTCATTCCTTCAACTTTCATCCATCCATTCATTCCTTATTTTCCTCCATTCATTCAACTTTTTCAGTTATTCCTTCCTTCAACTTTCATCCATTCAACTTTCTTTCATTCATTCCTTCAACTTTCAGCCATTCATCCATTCCTTCAACTTTCATCCATTCATTCAACTTTCTTTCATTCATTCCTTCAACTTTCAGCCATTCATCCATTCCTTCAACTTTCATCCATTCATTCAACTTTCTTTCATTCATTCCTTCAACTTTCATGCATTCCTTCAACTTTCATCCATTCATTCAAATTTTTCATTCATTCCTTCAACTTTCATTCATTCCTTCAACTTTCATCCATTCCTTCAACTTTCACGAATCTTTCCTCACTGGATTTTGTTGAGCTGCACTGAAGCTTCAAGAAACAAAACAAACTGGAGAGAAACTCCAAAGAAAACTATTTTCTCAGTGGTGTTGTTGAGTCACTACAGGCCTAAAATACAGGCCTAAATAAAGGCACAAAACAACAAAAAGCCAAGAAGAGACTGGAGCTCAAAGCAGGAAACATAATTTACCAAACCACAGAGGAACAACGAGCGACACAGAGAGAGAAGAGCTGTGATCTCACCATCAGACGGTCAGAGAGATACTGATCCACCACAAGAGCTTTCAAACCTCCTGCAATCAGAGATCTGAGTGGTGGAGGATGAGTGGGTGGAGCCTACAGCTATCAATCAATCAGAGCTCCAGCGTTTTCATTAGTGGAGAGTGAGTGGGCGGAGCCTACAGCAATCAATCAATCAATCAGAGTGTGATGAGGTGTAACTCTCTGTATCTCTGGCCAAAACACGTCAATGTTTATCATGAGAATTAAGATTTAAGATCATTCACACACACACACACACACACACACACACACACA